TCACAAATGTGTCTTCACACACATCCTAAAAGATGGAGCACTTCCTTCAACTATTACAATGAAAGTTGACCTTGGTACTTAATCAAAAATCAAATGCAAAGCTTGAGAAACAGTTTCCTTCTACCTCATAGGTAAGTCTATATTTAAAAAAAAAAAAAGCAATAGTTATAACTACATGAATTTGGAAGATTGCCCAGAATATCTGAATCAAATGACCATTATCACCATGAGCAACCTCAAACTCCTCCTAAATTCACTGTAGCTGGACACGTCTCATCTAGTCTTTTTGGGGGAATTTTTCTAAAAAAAAAAAAAAAAAAAACTAAAGTGAAGATGAGCGGCTCCTCAAGAGCAAGGACTTCCACCAGGTCCCCTCCAGGCCAGGCTCCTTCCAGACTTCAGTAGACACTTCCCCGCCTCCAGGAGGACAGACACTTGACCAGACAATCCAATAATCTACTAATCACTAAATAACTGTCTCAATTCATAAAGCCGTTTAATTAAACTGACAAAACACTCCAGTTTCATGATTTGGAAAAAATAATACAATATATTCTGGAATGAAAAACTGTAAAACCATGTGAAGAATAACATTTTAAGTGCTGTAAACTGGTGAGTGTTACTACGTACACTGAAGAGGTCTTTCTTCAACACCTTCCTGCATCTTTAACTCATAATTCCTTCAAGGCATAAATACTGCCATTCTTGAAACCAAGAAGACACAGACTATATCTTGGGTAGTTTAAAAATATATAAAAATTTTAAATATTAATATTTTAAATAAAATAAAGCCTAAGTACCACAATGGACAAATGAAAGTCTTTTCTCTCAAAAATAATGACAAATTTGAGTTGTTTAAGAAAACACATGTAGAACTGACTGGGGCGTGCTTCTCCGGGAGGCTTTCATGCAGTTAAACTACATGCAAACCACAGTTTCATCTACGTCAATCTGCAACATTTTAAAACCACACAAAAAGGACAGGAAACATTTAGTACAGCCAGGAACCCGGCAATGGGCTCTTGCTGCTGCAACTAACCCAACAGCTCACACTTCTCCGAAGACGAGGAGCTAGGCCAGCTCAGGCTAGAGAAAACACCCCCAGGTATGTCATTTTAAATACTTAAATCTATTCAAAGCTTTTCCACAGAAGGCAAGTTGATGACTCTCGGTTGTCTTTAAACTATTAAACTCTAAGTAGATCCTGCCTAAAAATTACTCTATGGTTCTGTTCTCTCTGGTGCCCCATCCATCTGTCTCAAAAAGACAGTTTAATTCAAACCACGCTAAATAGCCTGGTGAGCAGTACTCTTCGGTCACTTGGTTTTATACCTGGCTGGACAAAGGTCATATCACAGGTCTTTCTAGCAGGACACAACGGTCTCAAACTTCCTTTGCTCTAGAAACATACCGTAGATCATTTCACACACTTTGCCTGTGACTCCCATGGAGGATCCAGCTAGGTTTTTGCCAGCCATGGGTACCGTACAGGGGGCAAAGGAGACACTGCAGATCTCTCCTTGGACTGGCTGGAGTACTTGACATTTCCACTGGCTCATAACTGATTGGTAAACTATCCATCAGGCACTTAGTTCTTGAATTTGTGATAGAGAACATAGGATGTCAGAAAGGTATGATTTAAGCTCTAATCAACACAACTGGAAATTGTAAGTAAACCGCTTTCATTGACATCTAGATGGAATTTCATAAAAACATGGTTCTCAGGCTGAAAAGCTGCAGTCTATTTTAAATAAATCACTCACCTATAAAATACACAGTGAATTCTAATTAGAATAATGATTAATCAAAACCAACTATCCTAATTCTTCTCTCTCTCACATAAGTCTACTGAGAAGACATGCCATGTAACTGTGCAGGCACCGGGGAGCTCACCACACACCATGATGCTACTATCTGTGTAACATTTCGAATGGGAGCACTGAAGTCTAAATCCCACCACCCCATAAGGAGACAAAAGGCACAGGTGGGAGGTGAGATCAGGGCACAATGACACTAGTTTTTGGACTCAGAGGTGAAAAGCCTGCTCATGATTCCAAGGTGCAAATAAATGGCAACCGTCAAAACTCCAAGCACCAAGGAAATTAGGGATGGGCCCGAGTTAGGATAGACCAGCATAAAGGCAAGGAGCCTAGAAGACAATGCTTCAGGACAGCTCGTCACCCTGCTCTGAAAACTGCAAAACCTTGAGTAACACACAAGAGGCAGACCTTGGTCTCCTCGCCTGACTGGATGCTCTCAGTAAAGGTTATGCCCATCACTGATGTCCTGGGATCCCAGAGCTCTATCACCTGCCAAAGTACCAGGGCAGCAGGACCTGTTCTCAGACAGTGAAGGTCCCACCAACCTGAACAGGGAATTGGGATGGGCAGCGGACACAGCAGCAGACACCATGCTGAGCACATGCAGGGCCCTGGCCTGCCTCTCAGCCATGGGAGCAGTGGGTAGTAGGGACAGAGGAGGGACCTCAGTTATGGAACTTCAGTTTAACTAGGCTTAGTTTTTAAATGTACCTATTGTAAAATGAAACAGTAAAATGCTCGGAGAGTGGACACTTCTTTTATTAGTGCTCAGGGGAAGGTCAAGAGTGAATGTCTTACTTCAGCTTTCACCTGAACACTGCTCAGAACATCAGAACACGATCCTGCCGTGGCTAGTAAGGCCTGGTCTTGTGAGGACTGGTGGCTGCACGGTTAAGCATCTTCATCACATCCCTCACCGCTGTTACTTACCATGATGATTATGGGGACAGTGTTTTGGAGTGGTGTGGAATGTAGCTTCTGAGAGCAGACTGGGGTCCTGGCTCTAAAACTGAGAGCTTCATAACCATGACCAGGGAACCTCATTACGGCTCACTCTGCTGTCTGCAAAGCAGAGACAATGACAGCTATCCCACAGGAGGGATGGAAGGTTCATGGCACACATACAGCCGTCAACAGGCACAAAGTGTGTGCTCCAATGTCCCGGCTGAGTTTAATATAAAATGACATTTTTCATAGAGTTGAAGCCCTGGTTGGGGCAGATAAAGGGAAGGGCGTGTGCCTTATAAGTGACACCTTAACTTAGGGAATTTTAGGTGCAACTGTCTTATTAATCTCTTTTAATAAGAGATTAATATTGTTTCATTCCAAGATTGACATAATAGTTCATTAAATAGTTTTTGAGAAAATTTAGACTTCCAAAAGTGTGCGTCTGTCCTTTTGTTTTAAAGAGAGACTAAATGTCTGATGTGACTTTCTAAGTCAACCACTACATGCAGTATTTTGAACTTTTACAAAGGTTACATATGGATCAGGCACAATGGCACACATCTATAATCCAGTGACTCAGGAGGCTGAGGCAGAGGGGGGGCAAGTTCAAGGCCAGCCTCAGCTACTATTGAGACCCTGTCTCAAAATAAAAATTTTTTTTAAAGGGCTGGGAATGTAGTTCAGTAGTAAAACACCATTCTCTCGCCACACCTAACAAAAAAAGGAAAACAGTTTGTATATAATTTTTTTCCACCAAGACACAAACGTAATACTATGATTTTTAAAATGAAGAAAAGTTGGTGCTACTCAGAGCAAAAAGCAGTACCGGAAGAGTCCCTGTGGCCCTGTCAAAGGACCCACCCAGCTGGCCCCCCTAATAAACCCAACCAGGTTTGGGATGTGGGGACAGATGGTGAGATTTTAATGTCGTCTTCAACCCTGATTCCAGGCTCTGGGCTCCTGACTTCCCCTAACCTACCACAGAAGGAAAACCACCGGTGGTGAGGTCAGGTGCTCTGATGCTAAGGCAGCGGAGCCTTCCTCAACGAGCAAACATCTATGTTCCAGAAGCTTCTGAAATACATCTTTCACAAAACTATGTGGAAACACTGCCAGGGAAACATCTGTACCAGTACTGCCCAACAGCAAGAAAACCAAACCATAAGAATAGTTTGTTTTTCTAGTAGCGACATTCTAACAAGTAAGAAGAAACAGGAGAAAGGAATTTCATTAATATATTAAACCTAATATCCCCCAAGAACACTTCAACACATGCTCAGCATAAAATATTAATAAAATCCTAAAAATGCATTGCTAACTTGGTATAACTTGTGTAAAACAGTCCAATTAGTATTTCTTACAAGGTCTTTTTTTGTTTGGGTACCGGGCATTGAAATCAAGGATACTCAACCACTGAGCCACATCCACAGCCCTATTTTTTTTGTATTTTATTTAGAGACAGGGTCTGAGTTGCTTAGCACCTCGTTTTTTACTGAGGCTGGCTTTGGAATCACAATCCTCCTATCTCAGCCTCCAGAGCCACTGGGATTATAGGCATGCGCCTCCGCGCACAGCTGCAGGTTGTTTCTGATAATATTTTGTACTACATCTTCAAACTCGATGCTGGACACCACAGGTATATTCCACTGTGACACAGGAGTAACTGGAGGGAGATAAAAAGCACCCATCCAAGACCAGAATCTAATCCTTCTCTCTCTCTCTCTCTGCTAGAAAGACAAATGAAATGAAATTTTGGTACTGAAAATGTTCTAACAGGCTACACAGTTTTAAAGACTATACTTTTCAAGTAACACTTTTCTAATCCAATGGGTTTATGGCCATCCTGTCCGCTTAGGTTCTCCCAGCATGAGGAGTTACAAAACCCATAAAAAGAAAGCCAGGGTGCCTTGCTGACAGTCACACCACCAGCTTCCTCTCTGAACTTCTCAGAATCTCTGCTCTCTCACATCCTCTGCGCAGCGATAACAGAGCTATCAGAACACAAAACCCTAGGCCAGAACAAACCCCAAGGCCACAGCATCAGACAATGAAACCCAAGCTTGCCCCAACCCAGGACAGTCCCCCAGGTCACGAAGTCTAGTAAAGGACCCCCTAAGAACTGTAAAGTAGAGGGCATTATGCATGCAAATGGCTTTAAAGAAAATAGTTTCTAATTTTAATTACTAACCTTTCCCCCTTTTTCTTGTTAACAGATTCTTTGGGTTTTTATTGTTTTTGGTTGAAACCATCCTTTCTTTCCCTGAGAATGATGAACAGCTCGTCCTTCTGTCCAGTTTACAGAGATCTAGAGCCTTTCACCTATTTTTTTTATCTGGTTTTCCTCATTGGAATTATTGGAAGTTGTTTTGCAGCCTGGGCTTTTATACAGACCCCCACAAATCACAGGTGTGTGAGCATCTACCTAATCAACTTGCTTACTGCCGATTTCCTGCTCACTCTGGCGTTGCCAGTGAAAATTGTTGTGGACCTGGGCGTGGCGCCATGGAAGCTAAGGATATTCCACTGCCAAGTGACAGCCTGCCTGATCTACATTAACATGTACCTATCCATCATCTTCCTGGCCTTTGTCAGCATTGACCGCTACCTCCAGCTGATCCACAGCTGCAAGATCTACCGCATCCAAGAACCTGGATTCGCAAAAATGATCTCCACAGTTGTGTGGCTCATGGTCCTTCTTATAATGGTCCCCAACATGGCAATTCCCATCAAACACATCCGGGAAAAGCCGAATGTAGGCTGCATGGAATTTAAAAATGAATTCGGAAGAAACTGGCATTTGCTGACCAACTTCATATGTGTAGCAATATTTCTGAATTTCTCTGCCATCATTTTAATATCCAACTGCCTTGTGATTCGACAACTCTACAGAAACAGAGATAATGAAAACTACCCAAATGTGAGACGGGCCCTCATCAGCATCCTCCTGGTGACAGCGGGCTACATCGTTTGCTTCCTGCCCTACCATGTTGTGCGGACCCCGTACACCCTCAGCCAGACGGAGGTCATCTCTGACTGCTCCACCAGGATCTCGCTCTTCAAAGCCAAGGAGGCCACGCTGCTCCTGGCAGTGTCCAACCTGTGCTTTGACCCCATCCTGTACTATCATCTCTCAAAAGGATTCCGCTCTAAGGTCACTGAGACATTTGCCTCACCTAAGGAGACTAAGGCCCAGGAAGAAAAAACAAGGTCTGAAAATGATGTGTAAAATGTGGGGCTTCTCATGCTATTACCTCCTCCATTACAGGACCTTTAAAGCTATTTACAGTTTTGAAAGGCGGGGGAAAAAAGAGGGGGAGGGGTCTTGGTAATAAAAAATACAGACAGCAAGCAAATGTGGACTGTCGTACACAGAAACCCAACTTCTAAATGCAAGCCAATCTCATACTACTACTGCGGTTGTCAAACTACTGAGCCCAGATATTTGTACAAGAAAACCAAAGAGTGTTGTTCAACCAGTGTCAACCCGTGCAGTATCCTTGAAATCAAAAAGTGTCCATGACACAGACTTAGGTATTCATTTAACTACCCAGAACTGAACTTTCCAATGAAACAGTAAAATAAGCTCCCTGTGAATTTCCAAGAAGCCCCTCAGCAAAACAATTTTAAAGGACTTCAGATAACTTTAAAAGACCAAAAAAAAAAAAAGTATACAAAACCACCTGTTGCCTGATTTATTTTGAATTCATTACTTAAAAAACAGTAATCCTTCAGTCTGCTACTCTTCCAGGTTTTTTTTTTTTTTTGTAGTTATATACGGACAGCATGCCTTTATTTTGTTTATTTTTATGTGGTGCTAAGGATCGAACCCAGGGTCTCATGCATGCTAGGCAAGCGCTCTGCCACTGAGCTACAACCCCAGCCCCTTCTCCAGGTTTTAACATCAAACTCTTTCTAATAGCTAAGAGCTTTGGGGTTTGGGGTTGTGGATCAGTGGTAGAGCACTTGCCTAGCATGTGTGAGGCCCTGGGTTCAATTCTCAGCACTGCATATAAATAAAATAAAGTTCCATTGACAACTAAAATATATATATATTTTAAAAGCTTTTATTTATTAAAAAAACTTGAAAATTCATGGATAATTTTAATGTGTTACATACGCTTATATTCAATCAGTAAATTACAAAGGCTTCCTATTATAATAATAAATCTAGTGATTTCATGTTTTTATTTTGTCATACTATGATAACACACAGGCCCTTTTTCATTTTCAAAGGGAGTTATTAGATTATACCAGGTATTGAAACTATCATTTCCAAACCAGAAACTCATGTGGAAGGTATGGAAAAATTTTTAGCTCCAGATGGCCTTAAAACAGACACAGCAGCGCCACAGAGCAGGCCATGTAAAGGACACAAGGGCAGGGCCGGTGGCCAGCTCGGGCCCAGGGACATGAGCCTGCCCCACGTGGGGCAGGCTATTAGAAGTACAGGAGACTTCAGTGCTCAGGGTCCCGGCTCTGATCAAATTCTCTCCATGGCCAGTGATACAGGTAGGCCTCAGCACATGGCAGTAAACAGCAATCAGTCGGAGGAGGGTGGGAAAGTTTGGCAAGCACATGTGAGCCTCAGCCCTTAGCATCATCAGTCAAACCCTGACCAACAGCTGGCAGCAGACCGTATCATCTGCTATGGTTAAGAAACAGTGGCCCTGGGTGTCATGTCCAATTCTGAACTCATTTTTGCATGTGGAGAATCCTTTTCTAAAATCTGAAACTCTTGTCTACAATTTTGCAAATATATTTTCTGAGTCTGAAATGAATTATAAATGACAAAATGCAGAAAGTGTCTACTAAAAAATGTGTAACAAGGTAAGTCTGGAAGCATCTGGCCTGCAGGTAACAAGGACAGCAACGCCATCAGCATCTCAGGCCAATGTCCAGGCTGGAGAACACCTATGCATGCTGGTGGCCTGAACGACAGGCTTGCTGATGGGCAGATCAAAATGGCATCTGTGCAGCAGTGTACATGAAGCTGGTGTGTGTCTATGGACCGCCAGGCAACTCCTTTCCTCCCCCTTGGTCATTATTCACTGGGGCCACACTAGAGTGAAAAGAATCCCCAAGTTCTTGGCCTTCTCCTCACAAGCATGGTGGGTCGTCAGACTTCCCCTTTCTTTGAAGGAACAGAGCCCACATTCTCGGCAGCAGCACTGATCATCCTAGCACACTCTACTTCCCCCGACAGTCTCCAGATTGTACTCGTGGTAAGGGTGACTCAGGACAATCAGTGGTGGAGAGCTGTTAAAAATGCTATATCTTGCCAGGTGCAGTGGCCCACTCCTGTGCTCCCAGTGACTCAGGAGCATTAGACAGGAGGACCACAAGTTCAAGGCCAGCCTCAGCAACTTTGTGAGATCCTAAGCAAAGTAGGAAGACCCTGTCTATAAAAAAAAAAAAAAAAAAAATGAAAGGATCAAGGGTGTAGCTCTGTGATAAAGCAACCTGTGTTTAATTCCCAGTACGAAAATAGTAATAATTTTTTTAAATGCTATGTCCTAAACACCAATTGTACAAGCACTTCTGCTAGGATCGCATTACAGTTTCATTATGTCTGGACTCATCATGGACCTGGTCCCTGAAATCACAATGCTCTCTCTTCTATGGGAAGTAGACCAGTCATTAGGATGCCCAAATCTAGGTGCAGCCACGGGAGCAGTGGAATGGAGAAGCTCATGCCCCATGCCCTGCTCAGCGCCCAGATGCAAAGCTCTGCTTTCCCAGGAGCACCACAGGAAAGCCCCTGCCATGGGCAACATTATGCCATATTAGCTTTATTTATCTCTCCTTGTTGGTTTCCTTGGGGTGGGTGGTGAATAGTACTGGGGACTGAACTCAGGGTCAACTAACTACTGAGCCACTTGAAACTCTTGTTTACAATTTTGTAAATATATTTTTTATATTTTATTTAGAGATAGGGTCTCACTAAATTGCTAAGGCTGGCCTTGAACTTTCGATCCTCCTGCCTCAACGAGCCTGTTTTTTTTTTAATCATCTGTGCATCTTAGAGTAATTTCAGACGTACGTATAGAAAAGCTGCAGAGATAGTTCAAAGAGACCCTGTAAACTTTCCACCCAGTTCCCCTTAATGTTAAGCCTTATAAAATCATGGTGCATTTATTAAAACCAAGAAGGTAATATTGATACATCATTATTATTAAGTCTCAGACTTTAATTCTGAATATTTTAATACCCCAGGAATCTGATAGTTCATCCATAACTTCTTCAAGACACATCTCTAAAGTATAAGGCTACCCTTTCTGCTGCCCCAAATAAACTGTGGGTGGTGCCTACTGGTACAGCTGAAAACAGCTGAGATATTCAGACAAAGATGAGCAAGAAAAGAGTTCTGGCTCATTTTGACATAGCCACAGACATGAATCACACACAGAAAAAGGATTTTTTCATTGTGCTAAGATAAAAACATGGATTTAGTGATTTTGAATCATTTTGGAAGATGTTCCAAACCACCAAAAACTGAGTCACTTTAGCAGAATATGTAGCTTGCTGATCAAAACTCCAAAGACAGCCAGAGAATAACATGCTCACACACCACACACCTCAACATTATTTAGAAAAGCATCTCATGAAGAAAATGAGGCACTGTGATTGCACTTACCACAGAACTGCAGGAAAAAGCAAGGGAATCGGAGAACCGAGAACCTGGCCTATGTTCACTAGTGATACAGAACCCCGGTCCATCTCACTAGAGAACAAATGCATCACTATGGGGAGACGCAACATCAACCTGCGGCCACACTCGCCCGCCTGCTGTCTGTTCTCCAACCACAGCCAGCAAGCCCCACTTGGCCACAGCGGCTACACTGACGTCACCCCTTCCCAATCAGAGGCTCCTTTCCACCACTCCTCCTCTGAGAGCAAAAGGAGCCCAGGAATTTTGTGGCTTACTTTCCAGTGGGCACCTGGACTTGACTCAATTTCGGTGCGGACAGCATCGCTTCTTATGCGGTGAACACTCGCCTCTATCCTGACTCATTAGTCTTTCCTGCGCCCCCAAAGTCTTACTCATCTGTGTCATACCAAAAGCACCTACCACCATGCAGCACACAGCTACTGAGCAGATGACTTTCAGATGGAGAAGGAGGTCACAGGAGGACATCACTTACAGTGACTTGGATGCTTTTCACAAAACCATACAAATATAGAAATTCTGTTGCAGCCAGCCACTGATGTCACTCCACAAGTGTGGATGACCTCAGGACATAAGCCACGTGATCAGAAACCCAACCAACAGAGCAGCAGAAGGAAACCTCACTGCTGTCACAGGTGTGAGTCCAACACGCAGGTGGGTAATCTGGCACCTGGAAGTTAAGACCTTATAACAGAGCAAGCAGGCTGTAAGCTGGGGGAAGGGGTGACTTACCAGAGGTATAGGAAAATGTGTTGCATACTGCAGGTGGCGGAGGAGGTCATAATTAGATGGGAAAATCAACTCCCTCGGTTTTTCCCTCTTGGCCAACTTCTCTCCATTAAGTGACATTCTTCTGCCCAAGGAAGGGTTGGCGTTCTCACAGGACTCTCCAGGCATGGGAGAAAAAATCTAAGTCATGTAAAACAAATGTTGGAGATTATCAATGAAAGAGGGAAAAACCAACCCACAGAGCTACATTCCAGATCTCCACACACAAAAGAGGCTCCTGTAACAACACCCCTTCCTGCTTAACCACTGAGTAGAGAGCATGCAGAAATGTTGTTGATTTCTACAAAATTCACATTCAGATCAGTCAGAATTTAGTAGAATCCTGCCCCACTTAGAAGTGAAAATGAAAACCATACAGAGGCTAAAAAGGGACCAATGTGACCACTTCCTGGAGGATCAGAGAAGGAGGAGCCTTAGGGGTGCGTGTGTTCCCCTCAGGGCGACACTTGCTCCAGAAAGTGGGGACATCGCAGCAGCTAACTAGTAAGACTAGCAAACAGCAGGCATCAGGGCCTCCCATGCACCCTAGACAATATGTCTTATAGAGTATCACACCAAGACTAGTGACTATCACATCATCATTATCCTGAAACACAGAGAAGGATTAACGGACAGCTCCCGAGCACACAGCTGCTGCTCAGGAGCCCAGACATACACAGCAGAGCAACAGGCACAGACACGATGAAACCACATGCATGCACTCCTGAGAGGTGATGACCTCAGGATGCACCAAGGAATCACCCTTGGGTAGGAGGACAGCAAAATGGTGAGCCGAGGGGAGACACCTGCATGTGAAGTGTCCCTGGGGCCAGGGAGGAATGGGAAGAGCACACATCACAAGTGCACAAGTCACTCTGCGACATGGGCAAGAAACAAAAGGGTGGATACAAGCTGGGCGAGTGGGGGTGGGCTGACTGTCGTGAGAAGCAAAGGCTGAACCTACTGGAAACTCCGAGCCAAAGTCGGCTTTAAAGTCACTCTTGTCTACTTCATCAAAAATGTGAGCGGTTCCTGGGTCAATGCCCATGTGCGCCATGATGCTCTGCTCCTGATGAGTGCCAGGGAGAGAGTCCTGCTGTAAAGGCTGTGGTTCACAGAACACACTGAACAACAGCAAGCGCTGCGGCATCGCCGCCCCCCCACCTCCCACATTGTCTATTCCCAGAAAACCTGAAGGAAGCTTTGAACATGCACAGCTTTGACGCCCACATCCCCTCCCCACCATGAGAAAGTTCTGTCATGGTATGCTGAGGGAAGGGCACACCAACTTCCTGATGGAAAACAAAGTGGCCGTGATTCCTCCCCTGGGTATCCCCAGTCAGAGGCCCAGCTTTCCTCAGCCAGAAAACCCAAGTTCATACCCATGACTTAAGAACCCTGATACCCAAGGACAGAAAAGGGAAAGTACAAGCTCAGAAAACATGCAAACAGGTCAAAGGACTTCAGTTTTTACCCTTATGCCTTCTTCTGGGTTCCAATTAAGATATAAAAGTATTTGTAATGAAACAAGAACTTTCAGAATTCTGTACCTTTAGGAAAACATCCTAAGAGTGTGAACTATAAACTCAAGCTTACAATTCTCACACCAGGTTTTTAAAAGTACAAGTATAGGCACTATTTCAAACATACATAATGGTATATGACTAAACTGTTACAGAACCAACAGGAGACTTTATTTTAAGGAAGGGTTACTATTTCCCACTAATTCCAACTACCACTTTCATATTTTTTATCTTGAAAATTTAAGTATATGGAGCAATATCCAAAATATCAGCTCTTGGGCAGAAAATTATACAGTCACACAGCATAAAATAACAATTTTACCATATTTTAAAAATTGAAAATAATTAATTGAAATGAAAATACGTTGTGTTATGACTAACACTGAATCTCCCCTTGTGCTTAAAAGGGTGACATAAGCAGTGAGTGGGGGAAAGAGGCTCCTTAGAATGGAAACTCGGCTGGGCCAAAACTCACTTGGGGATGCAACGTTAAAAGAAACCCAGATGCTGGGTCACCTAAAACCAGGAGCACATCTTTCCATCCCGTGAAAAACGTATGGCTGCCCAATCTGTTTATCAACAGCCTTCCAGTACACAAAGACCACTCTGGGAGTATAAACCAGAGTCCAAATGCCCTTTCTGAGCAAAGAGAAGAGGCAGAGAAGCTTTGAGGAGAACACAACCAAAAGCCATCACTCCGCCCTCACCAAGGTGACACCCTCTGACGGTGACTCCCGGCAGGGCTGAAGCCCGGCCCCTGCCCTGCCTCCAGCCCTACCTCCAGTTTCACCTCATGGTCCTTGGGATAGTGCTCGTCCACATTCTCCCCAGCAGGCGACCGCAGCCCCGTGGAGGCGGTGACGGACAGGTCCCCTCGAGATATGAGCGTGCACATGTAGGCGTCGTGGGAAAAGACGTCGTGGCGGATGAACTCGCAGAAGAGCAGCACCAGGTTCACGAACTCCACCTTCTCGCACTCGCTGTTGGGGTCCGCTGTGGAAAAGCAGGTCCCGTTCCCAGGCTCAGCGGAGATGGCCAGGGGAAGGGCACCTCCCTGCCTCCCCCACCCTCCTTGTCACTGCAGGGTCTATGCAGCAATGGCATCCCCGCTGACGGGCAGGTTGTAACTGCTCGGCTCTGACTGGGAAGCAGTGCCAGTGTGCTGGGCATCCTTTAGGTGCAACAGCAGAGGGCCCTGAGGAATCCACCTCCAGGTAACAGAGGAAGGCCTGGCCAGCGCCCACCCAGCTCTTCTACTGAAAGAGGCCGTGGTTTCCTAATGTCCTGAGTGTGACTGGCATTTTGTGGGGCATGTGTGTCTGTTTCCAAGAAACTTCATGATACACCACAATTATCATGGCATTTGGAAAGAAGAAGAAGAAGCAAAGAATCAGAATTCACTGGAAAGAAAGGAACACAGAAAATGGAATAAAAAGGACACAAAGTTGGAGCCCTTACTCTTGTAAAATCTGCAACCAGTCTATTTAATTCACATTATGATTTTCAATGTTAAAACCACACTCTATGAAGCCAGGCAAGGTGGCACACACCTGTAATCCCAGCAGCTCAGGCGGCTGAGGCAGGAGGATCACAAGTTCAAAGCCAGCCTCAGGGGGCTGGGGATATAGCTCAGTTGGTACAGTGTTTGCCTAGCAATGCACAAGGCCCTGAGTTCAATCCCCATCATCACAAAAAAAAAAAAAATCAAAGGCAGCCTCAGCAACTTAGCAAGGCCCTAGAGAAGTTAGTAAGAATCTGTCTCAAAATTATAAATAAATAAAAGAAATAAAAGAAACAAAAAAGGCTTGGGATGTGGCTCGGTGGTTAAGTACCCCCAGGCTTCAATCCATGGCATTAAAAAAAAAAAGCCTGCACTCTATAAACCCATATAATAACCTGCACCTTTGGATAAGGTTAAAAAAATTATAAAACTAAACATGCAAAGCTCAATCCCTGGTGCCAACAGGAAACAGATTTCTCCCATGAGCACTGGGCTGTACTCCTAGACCTAGATTCAAAGTTTTTCCTCTGGCCCCTACCACTCCAGAGACAGCAGCCTCTATGGGAAGGAGCCCGGCTAGCTCTCCAGGGGCAGGAAAAGCCACCCGGAACCAGCACGGCACAGACCAGGGAGCTGGTTGGGGGGGGGAGGAGCACCAGGGCCATAGGCCCTCCCTGCCCCCAGGTGCTCCCTGCTAACCTCCTGCCTGATGTGCCTCCCTACTGGGTCCCCTGGGTCCTTCCCCTTCTCTGCTTCCTTTTCTGCTTGCTGTCTTCCAGCCACCCGCTGGGCTCCAGGCTGACTTTCCTACAGCCCAGAAAATCACTGTATAACTGAAAGGGAGCCCCTGGTCCCCAAGAACCTCAGCACAAGCCTCACACAACTTGAACAAGGCAGTCTTGCTGCTTTCCTTTCACTCCTCCGACTTCTCCCTTCCCCGACCCTTCTCTCCCGTCCACGGCTTTCCATGTTTTGCCATTTTCCTGTTGTTCCATCTCTATCTGCTATATTCTGCCTTATAAAAATCTCCAGATACATTGCGCCTGCATGGTAACACTATACCTGAAAAGCACTACCTACCAAAGTGTCCTGGGAGGAGTGGGGGGACATGCCACAAACCCTCAATTCCTCACCAACAATAAAAGTAAAAGACAAAGCCAGGCAGATGGCACACACCTGCAGTCCCAGTGACTGGGTGACTAGGTAGGATTAGAGGTTGTACACTAGCCACAGCAACTTAGTGAGAACCTGTCTCAAATATAAAAATTTTTCAACGTGGGCGAGGATGTAGCTCAGTGGGCAAGCACCTGTGGACTCGATCCCCAGGACCAAAGAGAGAGAGAGAGAGAAATAGCCTGAGACTGAAAATCCAAGAAACGGTGGTATCATGAATGTAGCTAACCATCTTTATAAATTTTTCCTTGTATCAAGGCTCTAGTTAAAGTATGGTTAATTTTCTTCACTTTTGAAGAGCAAGAGTTGGAATGTTGGAAAATTAAGAAAACAGGTTAAAAAAATAAAAATTTCTGATTAAGATACACAGGTAAACGTCATAGCTCTTGTTTCTGAAAGATATAGAAAGGAGAAACAGTACACTGAATTTAAGGAAGTGAGGTGACTTAATTTTAAGTTATTAAAATCTAAAAATTTAAAATATTTGATGCTTGACTGATTTTAAAATTGGCTAAAAGTTTCCACTAAATAAATGATACTAAATTCTGTTTAGTAACACATTCATGATATTCAGTTCCAAGAACTTTTGATAAGATAGGAATAAGAAGTGGAGAGGGTCGAACCTTACTGAGAAGCAAAGGCCTTTTTTACTTACACAGTGAGGGGGCCTGTGTATCCAAAAACCTTAGCAGCACATTCTGGAAAACAGGCAAACTAGAGCCAGCAAGGGAGGCAGAAGAAATGGACTCCTTCTCATCTAGGACTTCTGATTCGCCACATCTCTACAGGTGAAAAATAAACAAGCGCAGGAGTTACACAGGGCAAGTGCAGTAAAAGCAGATCATGACTCTGTTCTGTAACCGACGTTTGAGCTTTAAAACACGTTCAGTTAACTGAGATTTCTGCACTTACCTGAATATCATCCATCATAAGTAAAGATGATTTCTAAAAGCTGGGGAGACTTACCCAGAACAAGTCAACTGATCTCACAGAACACCATGCCTGGTTTTTCAAGTCTGTACAGCACCGCAGGAGCGCCCACAGAGTGCCCAGCTCGGTATGACAGGCCGTGCCCTAGCCATAAGCAGAATGGCTGACCATATTCTGAGCTGGTCATTAAATAACTCAGTTTGAATGGACTCTGAAGTTCCTGCCATATTTTACTGGGTCTGGTTCCTTTGCGTCTATGTTCCCAACTTGAGGGTTTACTGTGCTTGGAGGCATCAGACGAGAAAGCAAACACTGCTCCTAAAAGATTCTTCTGCTTGTTCATCACACTTCTCCACTAAGGTGGCCTAGGGACACTGGGAACTTCCCAGCTTCACGCTGACACTTCAAGAAGGTGTCTAGCTTTCATAGTCTTCTTCTTTTTTTTTTTTTTAAGTTGTCAATGAACTTTTATTTTATTTATTTATTTATGATGCTGAGACTTGAACCCACACACATGCTACGCAAATGCTCTACCACTGAGCCATAACCCCAGCCCTTAGCTTTCACAATCTTAATGAATTTAAAAGATGATCAAAAAAAAATTTAGAAGAAATCAAAATCTCATTTTCTATTCTTTTTGATATCCCTGATTCTTCCCATTTCATCATTCATTCATTAATATTAAGATAATTAAATAATAATTAGATTATCATTTCCCCAGTCTATCCTTTTTGGAAAAGTCACATTATCTATCCTTTTTGCAAAAGTCACGTTGTAAAGATCATAATGTTCATGAGAAATCGATTATTCCTAAACACTGCTGGGAAGAACACTTTTAGATGTAGATACACTTAGGTCTGTTAAAAGTGCCAAGCAGTCTGCTTGTGAATCTCTTCAAAGTGATGTGTCTCCGTGAGCATGTGCATTACAGAACACTAGGAGGAGAAAGACCATGTCAAAAGAAAGCCATCGAGAAGGAGCCATGAAGTATTTGGGAAACTTGGCTTTGCTTCCTGATGTTGACTCATGCAGTTCAACATGTAGAGAAAAGGCAACTACAGGCTCTTCTGGGCCGGCCCGTGGGGAACAGGGTCTGCTGGCCTCACATGACCCCACCGAGCCCCACCTCCAGGAATGAGATCGGCTCTCGATGAATGAATGGCTTTCTCACGTGTTAGTGCTAGTGAACTGATGGGGTGGGGAGAATGAAGCTAGAGCCACAATATGCATCTAGATATTGCGGGGAGGCAGGGCCAGGGCATGAGAGGCATCTGGATATGGGGCTCATGCCCCTGGCTGATGTGGAGGGCAGCAGAGAACAAGAGAGGAAGCAGGGGTGAGGCAAGAGGAGCCAGCAAGCCATCCAGGTGAGGGACGCTGGACCTCTCCAGATCACACACATGCTCCCTGTGTCACCGGCTCAGGTGCACATATAGGAAAGATGAGTCACAAGAAAGCTTTCCTTCAAACAGAGGCTGTCGCTTGCTGGTGGAGTTGGCTTTGATTGTCCTTTGTCATCTACACCACAGCTTTAATGGCAGAACATGTGTTAAATAGCAGCTCTGGAGGCTGAGTCAGGAGGATTCCGAGTTCAAAACCAGTCTCAGTAATGGTGAGGTGCTTAGCAACTAAGTGAGACCCTGTCTCTAAATAAAATACAAAATAGGGCTGGGGATGTGGCTCAGTGAGTTCAATCCCTGATACAAAAAAAAAAAAAAACAATGTAAATTGATCTCTCTGACCTCACAATCATAACTGCTTCAAGAAAGGATTTCCAAATCCACTAAAATATAATGTAGGTTTAAATGTCCTAGAAGTCGGTGTGCCTCAAGCACACTTGTGTGTGTGTATGCGCGCCAGCTACAAATATCTCAGCCTTAGAGGGAGAGACTCCATTCTTCTAAACCTGTGGTGAAGTTTTTGAATTAGTCCCAAATACCCATCCCTGGCCGTACCAACCTACAGAGCACCTCCTTAGGTGCATCTAAACATCCTCCCTTTTTTCCTCAAAAGAAAAGAAAATGAGAGAACATGAAAGAGAAAAAGCATCCCCCTCCATGTGATATTCAGGCCATAGCATCAACAGGTAGGAAGGAGAAGGACCCACCTCGGCTTCAATCTCCGCTTGCCTCTTCTCCAGGAGTTTGGCCACGGCCATGGCCCTGTGCTTGCCCGACCGTTTGCAGCTCACGGCCCATTCACACAGCAGCGTCACCACGGCTTCATCATTGGGGGCCACCTAAGAACAGAGAGACACAGGCACTGCCACATCAAATGAAAGGTTTGCCCATTGACCATCAGGAGGCAGGCAACGGAGGACGAGAAGCTCGAGGCCTTCTCCCCATATTTTACTGTAGGAGTTTCAGAAAATCATTTTTAATCAAAGCATAAAAACTTAGGTCACGGGAAGGAGATCACTTACTAAGAAACTGCCTACACTGGATGGGTGACAATTCCAGATCAGGCAACCTCGCAGCTGCTTTGGCGTGCACGGAGTCACAAGCTAGAACTCAATCTCACATCCAGACAGAGAGAGAAATGACTGCTGGCCCCATGAGCAGCCACTACCAAGTGAGGCCACCTATGGTCCAGTCAACACCTAGGACCTCTGTCCCCAGCTCATGGCCCTCAGAACTCTACCAGGCTGGGTGACTGAACGGCTGGCACAATCAGAAGGACAAACCACAGGGGGACTGGAAGGGTGACAAAGACCCACTGCACCAGAAACAGCAACCTGGACAGTGGCACTCCGAGAGAACCAGCAGCTAAAGCAGACCTGGTCCACACCGCAGCCTGGGTCCACCTGGGGCTCAGCACAGCACCCAGAACCACTACCAGCCTAGGAATGGACCACGGGGATGGAGGACAAGGGGACTTAAGGCCCAAGTGACATGAATTCTCACTGGGGTGGAGGTGAGGGTGGTGACAGCAGAGAGACAGTACTTCCATGCAACCTGTCCTCTCCTTTCCACAACCCACACCAACAAATGGGTCACTGGCTACAAGGTGTCAGCATCCCCAGGTGTCACCGTAACGCTGGAACAGGCAGACAATCACAATGTCAACAACCCCCACCACATGAGAGGGTGGCAACATTATAGAATCCACAACTCATGTAAGATGGCGACATAGTTATGAGCACGCTCCCTAGAAGAATGTGTGTGTGTATACACACACACACACACACACACACACACACACACACACACCCCTCAGCCCAACCCTGCCCTTGTAGGCGTGTGGATTCTGAGAAGTCATCCGAGAATCCCTGACCAGCTTTCGACACTATCGAACAATTCAGAACATGAAATAAGTTCATTCCAAGACTCTTTTTCATCCTATCCTAAATTTGATCATTTTAACATGTGGACTCAGAACAAAGAAATAAGTTACCAAGGACTGACACCTCCAAGGGAGCTCTGGGCCTCTTAATTTAACACAAGGGAAATAATTCAATTAAATACAAAGCTTTTCTGGACAACACTTTAAAAAAAAAAGCAAACTGTAAAGGTCTTCTGCCATAGAAATATAAAAGTCAAGAGTTATCCTAAATCCTGCTATTTGTTTTTATTAAGCAGCAATTGCATCATGCTCAAGTTTTTTAACTACCCCCATCTTCAAAATAAGATAGAAACTGTTACAACTTAACACAGTACTGTACTTGCTGCAGAGCCCAGCTCCTCCTCCGGCCAGCCCCGCAGGCTCTGTTTTGTTAACCATTTTCCCACTGAAGGCCCCACATGAGATTGAACACTCATTACCAGGGGGAGAGAGCTACATGGGCCTCTGCACATGATCAGTGGCATCGCTGGCATCGCTGGAGGTGGGAGGAGGACCAAAGGCTTCACACTGTTGAATGAACTTACGAGAACACCCCATGACCACACGCCTGGGGGAGCTGAGCAGCAGCCATGTAGCCCCGCTATCTCTTCAGGAAATGCAAATACACATTCACTCATCACGTGCACCACTGTGAAGATCAGCAAGCTAAGCACTCTGTGCCCAGGGCATGCAAATGATGCCCGGCAGCCAGAGGAAGACCCGTCGACCTGGGCACCCAGATGCTAAGGAGATCCTCAGGTACCTCAGAGGACAGGAAGGCTCAGTTCTTCACCCTGGAAGTCACACTCCTCGGACATCGGAACCAAGAGCCCACACAGAGCTGAGCTGGGCGGTCAGTGGGAGATTCAGCCAGGGGAAATTTTTGCACAGGGTGTGCTGTGAAGTGCACCTGTGGACAGTCATACTGAGGACACAGGTTTATCCACATGCAGGGACTGTGGATTTTCATTTTATGCTTCCATGACGTAGAAGAAAAGATACTGTTGAATGTCAAAGAAGGAAAAATGTAAAGGGGCCTTGGAGGAAAAATCTAAGATAAACAGAAATAAATGTAAAGAAAAGCAAAGCAAAGACCTACCTAAACCCAGTGAGATCTAACACTCCCTGGGGCCTCGAGGGACGAGCAAAGCTCCACTCAGAGGACTGTAGAGGGGAAGCTACCTTCTGTCCATTTACACAGGTGACCTCTGCTCATTCTCACAGCCACAGAAACTGGGGAAGAGAAGCCCAGGCTGAATCCACGTCTGTGACCCAGGACTCACCTCTGGGCTACTCCAACACCCCTCGCTGAGGAAGGTCCCAGCACAGCTCCACCTGCTGTCCCACAAACTCTGACATCTACGGACCCCACACTCAGCTCATCCTCCCTCTAGAGTCCCTCTCCCCCATGTGCCTTCTCTTAGATAAATGGCACCACCTTCAGACCAGGAAGCTGGTGTCCTCTCCCTTAAAAGCTGCACCCCAGTTTCACTGAGGTCCCCATGCCATGCCAGGCCTCCTTTGGGCCATGTCGGCTGCTCTTCTCCCAGAGTGTAACAGCATTGTCCTCCTTACTGCTCTCAGCTCTGGGGTTCCTGCTGACCAAGTGCACAGAATGCCACCCCATGTCACATGCTTTGTGGCATATGTGACTACCTAAAGTTTCTCTTCACTTGAGTCTAATTTTCCGGTGCATTCCCTCAAGGACAGCAAGTGGCAGGAAGGCAGGACTGGCTCTTCACTGCCTTCCTTCACACCTGCACACCCGACCTCGCACGGGCCACCAGTGGACGAGGCTTCCAGGCCTCTGGTGGAAATGCCAGGAGTGAGTCCCCTGCCCAGGCTGCATCAGGAAAGCCCAGTGAGAGCTATGGTGCTGTGATGAACTAGTGCATTCTAAGTGGGGCAAATTCTGGGTTACTCTAGAGCATAATCCCACAGCAGCTTCTGGTGTGTAACAAGGTACCACAGAGCACGGCAACTTCTGCAGCAGTCATGCGTGTCCAGTCAGCTCGCTCGGATCTACGGATGGTGTTTCTGGACATGCAAGGAAAACCTGGAGACATTTTTTTTTCCTCTCCTAAGTCAGAAAATGTCACCCTTTAGGTGTTCTGTCATTCAAAGAAACTTCAACTCATCTCATTAAAAAAAAAAAAAAAAAAAGCCTATCTACCTGAATTACAATAACTGCAGTGCCCTTTCACCTTTTTCAGGCCCCTATTCCATTGAATTACTGCAAGGCCACAAAGCTACACTAAATTAGCAAAATTATTTTTGAGAATTGCTACAAGTGATTATGATAGTGATTTATACAAAAGTACTAAATATGAGCTGAAATTACATAATCTTTTTTTAGTTGTACTTTGACACAATATCTTTATTTTATTTATTTATTTTTAATGTGGTGCGGAGCACTGGACCCAGGGCCTCACCCATACTAGGCAAGTGCTCTACCACTAAGCCACAGCCCACTAAGCCCACACCCTAATCTTCCAATTTGTAAAGACTGGATTTCACCTCCTCATTCTTAAAAATGCTTGAGAAAAATATCTACAATGTGTGGCTTTGTTTTTTTATACTCTTGTATATTCCCCAGGTTTTGAATGAGAAAATATTGCTTCTATACCAAAGAAATCAAATATATATGTGTGCATGTAAATATATACAATATGTATTATATATATATTCAACATCTGTGGTTCAATATCCTTGTATGCTAATTCAAAATACAAAATATGTCTACTTTTTTTTAAACAAAACTCCAGATGGCTTTTAAAACAGATGGACTAGAATTTAAAAGACTCTGAGAAAACAGTTGTTGTCATTGTTATTTCTTAAGGAACTTTTAAAAGTAAAATTGCACAAAAATACTAGACATTTTTTTTTCTAACGAATAAAAAAATAAACAGGTGCAAATTAAAAAACTAATGGAGAAACAGGTGGAAAGTTGGAATAGAAAGACAGGTAGTTGTTGACTACTGTAACAATCCAGTGACTTAAATCAACTCGATCTTGCCTGCCTCTGGGTCTCCACCACCCTCTGCACACTGAAGGGAATTAGTTCACAAAATGTGCACAAGAATTCTGCTGATGGGCTTCTGTCCTAGACAACAGCTGGCATAATCCTAAAAACCTGGTGGACGTGAAAAGGCCAGTGATCTCAGGCACTCAGCACAGGAAAAGGCCCTGCCTGCCCCCTGAACACGCCAGACGTGGCCAGGGGCAGAGGGTGGTGTGCTGGAAAACAAGCCCAGTGAGGTGAGCACCAGGATCCCAGGCCCTGAGAAAATACTCTAAACCTGGCCCTTATATCCCTGAAGTTCACATTCTAGAGGGAAAAGCCTAAAAGATGACTACCTACAAAGCAACAAGAAAACGAACTGTGCGAGAAGGAAGGAATTGGGTCCCCATGCCTGCCATGTCTTAGAGGGTACCAGCATCCCCCTGTCCCGGCACACTGACATCTGAGAACTGGACGGGCAGATGGGCCTGCAGACGACCAGCCATAGCAGCCATCACAATCACTGACTACCAAGAATTAGGTGAATTAAGAAAATCAGTGACGGAACCACTGAGAAACACTGTCGGAAAAACTCAGCTTTGTAAAATATAAAATTCTAGCACAGAAATTTTGTCTTCACAGCAACTGTGCCTATAAAAATTTAAACATTTCAAAATTCATTTTGAACCCATTAGTATTTTCCAGTATTGGCCAGATGCCAAGACTGTGCAGTCCTCTCCTCTCTGAATATCAAGAGGCCTGCAAGCAACACGGACCTGTCCTCAGGACCCTGGAAGGGACAGAGAAGCCGGGACAGAGGAATGTACACTAGCTTCTCAGAAGATCCCACTGGAAACACGGGTGGCATTACACTTATCTGAAGACACAAGATATGTGTAGCTCTTTATTACCAAAAC